ATTTATTTGTCAGAGAGAGAGAGAGCACACAAACGGGGGGGCAGTAGGCAGAAGGAGAAGCAGACTCCCCACTGAGCAGGGAGCCCCACAGGACACGGTATCCATCCCAGGACCCCGGGAGCATGACCTGAGCTGAAGACAGACATTTAACCAACTGAGCCACCTAGGGGTCCCAATACTGTATATTTTTTACTGTATTTCTAACATTTGGCCTGACCCCAGAGATTTTAAAATTAAGAAATATTTACTCAATGTATGGTTATTGAGGCAAATGAAAATGTGTTTATTTGTGAGGATGTAAGCGAACTTGTTTTCTTCGGTCAAAACATTTTTTAATGTTGTTTTAACAATACACAACACTTTGAAACTCTTTTTATAAACCATCTGATCTTGGGTTCTACCCACAGAAATTCCCTGAATTCATACCACGTGTCCATTCGCAGGCCACATAGCTTTCCCTCCTTTTCACGTCTGAAATGCCAGGTCCTCTGAAACCTCCCAGTTTCATTACTGTAAGTAATGAAATGCCAAGCAGTCTCCTAAATTCCAGGCCACTTGGGTAGTATTTTGACACTTCTCATTCTCAAAGTCCTAGGTTTACATTAGATCCCTTTTACTTTTGCCCGTTTGAGGACTCCAATCAGTCCACAGACATTTTGTCAGGATTTATATATTTTCTCCCTTTAGGGTAGCATTTAATCAATAGGGAAACCAGACTATAAAGAATCTGGATGGATTCATAAAACCCATCGTTAATGGAGAAACAACTTGAAGCACAAGCTCTCTGGATAGTTTTCCGTCAATTTGTGTCATAGTCAGAAAAGTTGTTTTTACCTATCACCAACTGGGACTGTATGGAAAACACCGACTCTGAATGGGACCCGGGGGGAAGGGGATTTGTGTGTGGGAAGTGAGGAGGAGTGAGATAGGATGTGGATGCCCTCAGAATTATCTTCCTGAATGTAACTGGGAGGAGGGTAGAAATTGAGAGCTAAAAAGGACCTTAGCAATCATCTAGTCCATTCTTTTTATCTTACAGACTAAGAAACAAAGGCTTGAAGAAGTAAAATAGCAGTAGCCTGCAGACAACACCCCGGGACACCCTGAAGCCTAGTTCAGGGTCCTTTCCACTGTACCACCTGCTTATTTTTGAAAATGATCTATTTAGAAAGCTAAAACAGACAAATTCAGGAAAGAAGCTCTTTTTTTTTTTTTAATTATTTATTTATTTGAGAGAGAGAGAATGCGAGAGAGCACATGAGAGGGGTTAGGGTCAGAGGGAGAAGCAGACTCCCTGCCGAGCAGGGAGCCCGATGCGGGACTCGATCCAGGGACTCGATCCAGGGACTCCAGGATCATGACCTGAGCCGAAGGCAGTCGCTTAACGAACTGAGCCACCCAGGCGCCCAGGAAAGAAGCTCTTGATAGATTTCAGGGTTCAATGACATTGAGATTTTGCCAAAACAATAAAAACTGCCCGAGTCATAAAGGTATTTCAATATTTGCAGAAGCTAGTTTAACTAGGTTTAGTATTTCCTAGGGGTACACCTCCCTTGTTTATGTTTCTTAATTAAAAAGTTGAAAACAAAAAAGTAGGGAGAGAGGCCATGGGTTCCACAGAGGCACAAAATCAACCCTTGATCATTCATTCCTCATGCAGCAATATTTAACGTCTACTGTGATTGAGGCACCGTGCCAGGTGCTGGGAATCCAAAGAACACAGTCCCTTCTCCCTCAGAGCTTACACTATAGCAGTGAAGACAGAGTATTAAAGTAGTAATTACATTAAAGTGTGTTGAGTGTTACAATTGGGGAAATGCCAGATTCTGTGGATTTATCCCCTGAGAATAATTCAAGCTGTTTCTCTTCTGTTATCAACATATTTCTGGGCTGCCTCTTGAGTTCCCCAAACATGAATTCTTTTCAGTATAACACTTAAAACAACAAACATTTACTGAGCACGTACTGGTGTGCCATACAGTGGCTGCAAGAAAATTCCAAGGTAAATTAGCAATGTAAAAATCATTCTATACAAGGACAAAATTATTTTGGATTATACATGCCTGGTAAACGTAGTATCACTTGACAGCACAGGTGAGCTGAAACCAATTTGATATATCTTGATTTTTATAGTAGTCTTAACAGGTGTTCTCAGCAAAATTACCGCCGGCCCCCTTTGCCCCGCATCATGTCAGAGCGCTGGAAGGCTCTACCTACTACCTGGCGTAGGTCTGAATGAAGTCTGTCCAGCCTTAAAGGGCCAGCTCAGGCGTGTGCTCTACCAAACGTCTCGCTGCCATAAGCCCGCGCACATCTTTCGCCCTCCCTCTCTACTCTTACAGGTCCCGCATTTATATAGCATTTGGCATGTACTCTTTTTAGTGTTGACTTTGTATATGTGTGTCTTCCCCTAAACTGGATGGATTGTTAAGGGCTGACCCGCCAGCCCCCTATGGTATCACCTTAAGAGGCGGTCCCCCCACACCCGTCCATTCATCACAGAAACAAATTCCACTCATAATGTGGCAGACTGTCTCATTAACCTTGGGGCCCTATTTCCCTCCCAGTTACAGCAATCTGGTTGATTCCACGGGGTAGAGAAAGAAGCCAGGTTGGCCGGGCGGGAGAGGAATGGCGTCAGTGTGAGGTCACGCCACATTGTCCCAAATGCCATCTCCACTCCGCGGCGACATTAACGCAGGATTGAGGGATGCAGCCGAAGGAAAGACAGTTTGCACCTCATGCAGACTACGTGCAAAAAGAGGGCAGGACAGAGAACAATGCGGGGAACCTCGCAGGGCGTGGCAGGGCACCTGAGCGCCAGCAGTGAGTGCCCGCAGATAGGGAAAGCGGGGAGCGAGGAGCCACGCGGAGGCCGCGCAGGATGAGGCGGGATTTCCGGAAGCCATTTGCTTGAGTGGCAGGGGAACCGGAAGTGGGGGCGCTGCCGCTGGTGCTGGGGCCCGAGCAGGGACGCGCCGGAGCGGGGCCGCCGGGACTGAGCGAGCGACAGACGCGCCACCCGCCGACGCCGCAGCCGCTTGGGGCCCGTACGGACCCTCTGCCTGAGTAAGTGCAGCCAGGGTCGCGGGGAACCGGAGGCTTAGAGGTGGGGGTCGAAAGGGCCTGCGATTTGTTATTGTGAGAGGCCCGCGACCTCCCCTCCCCGACCCTCGGGGGACCTCGCGCGCGCGCCTTCTCCGCGGCCCAGCGCTGCTTCCCCAGCTGCCCGTGCTGTCCCCGGCACTCCCCGGACCGCTCGCCGCCCCCCGTAGAGCCTCCCGCCGGCACCCCACCCCCAAACCTGCCGACTCGGCTCCGCCGCTGGCCGCCGTCTCCACCCGCCTTTCCCAGGGGAGGGGTGCAGGGGGACTACGGTGGCGGGGCGGCCGCTCCTCCCCGGCCCACCGCCTGGAGCAGGCCTCTCGGCACCCCAGCTCGCGGTGGCCGGCGGTTCGCCGCCGCCAGCCCCGTTTGTAGCAACTCTTCTGCCTTCGGTCTCAGCTGTTGCCTCTTCCCTCCATCCCCGCGCCCGAACCTCTGACCCTCCCTCCCCTTTCCCCCGTCGGAGAGGCCTTTAACCCGGGCTCAGGCCCGTTACTCGGTGGCTTGTTGACCGAGCACTTTTTCCTCCCCTTTTTGTTGAAAAATTTCAACTCTTTAGAAACTTCTCCGTTTCCCCTAATGTATTCAAAAACCCGCAGACTGTTAGGGCTCCGAGGGGATTATTTCTTAGAGGGCCATGTTGCCCAGCATCTCATTTTAGAGATGAGGCCCAGCAAGGTTGGTGATTTGCCCAAGGTCAACCAGCTGCTTAAAGAGGCCAATGGACAGATTTTCTCTGGTGCTTTTCACTTGGTCCATCCATGTCCATTTACAGGAGCGAGACCTGGCCTGCAGGTTTGCGATATACCCGTTGCATGGTGACTCACTGTTCTGCTTCCCATAGCTCTCAAGCCAGCGTTGCTTTCCATGATTTACGCACGGACCTTAAGAAAAGCAAGCACTTCAATCTCTGGCTCTTTTTTAGAGTGTGTCTGCAGAGAAAGGGAAGATCATCTGCACCCACTCTAGGATCTCATTTTGTACAGTTTTAAATTGGGGCGAGGGGGATAAAGGTATGGAGAAAGAAGAAGGAAAAAATACAGAGTGTTGTCTCTCCTGAGTATTTGAATACAGCTTTGCCTTGGATAAGCCTTGTGTCTTTAGATTCTCTCCTGGGCACATTGTTCTGATATAAAGGTTGCCTCCTTGTGGGGGAGCAGGGGAGGAGTAGGAAATCATTGTGCTTTAATTTGTTGGCTTGGGCGGGCATTTGATAATAAATTATGGATGTGCTGGAACCCTGGGACGCACCTGCCAGCCCACTGAGGCAGGGTCTTCTGGATGAGGCTTTTCTTCCCTTTCAGAATATTGCTGCCAACTCCCTCTGAAGCAAAATGAAGAGGCTTAGGTCAGAGTGGACACATTCTAAATCTTTTAATTCTTGGAGCAACTTTTCTCCTCCCTCTGTTTCCTGGTTAAACTAAAGATCCAGCTGAGCTTGAGAATTTATATTTCTTTGTTGTTGGAACTGGTTTCTGATTAAACATGCTACACCAGCTACACCACATACTGGTGTAAGTATCTGGAAATTCTGGTGTTCACCGTCATAGTCCAAGTTAAGGTAGAAAGAAGATAGAAAATGCAGGAAAATTGGGAAGTGCTGTGCAAGTTGCTTACTCCTCATTTTTCCAAAGAATTTACATTTTAATGGACAATCAGAGATTCCCTGGAGTAGTCTCTCCTGGTAAATTAACGAAACTTTTGTTCTTCAGACCTTTATCTCCGTTCTCCTTGGTTTCTCTAACTGAACCTGCTGTTTGTGATCAGAAGTTAGTGACTTAAAATAATCCCCCCCAAAGGGATTATTATGAATCAGGAAGGTGAAATGGGAGTCAGAATCCACCTCCCTATTGGTACTTTTTTTATTATGTTACTGATTACAGCTTCACTATTCCGAATACTGCTGTGTATGGTATTGCTCTGAGGCAGGAAACCCAAAATCATTCAGGTTTTTGTGTCCTGTCACAGGCTGTACTCTGGATAGCTCCTGATTCATTCTTCATTTCTCTTACAAAGAATTCAACAGCTTATTTTATTTGACTCCCAAATTATTTGAATCTTCTAAATGCATAGATCCCTAGATTGTACATTTCTAGCTTCGTTCTTAGGAGGTTGCATGGGTTTGTGGCTCACTTTTTCTTTACCTGCTCTTTAAGGATGTTATCAATCCATAGCCATCAGTAAAACTGAAAGCTACTTTGTATTGTGAGAATTTGATTTAGCAAAACAATACAAAATCCAAGTGTCTGAAGGCACAAAGAAATTTTTGCTCAGATACTTTGCCCTTGTTGAGGAGGAAGGATGACCTTGTATTCATAGTTACAGAAAAAAAAAAAAAAGACTAGCTAATTGGGAATATTTTGCAATCTTCTCTCAATTCTACCTGCCTGGTAGCCTTAGATAAGTGACATCTTTTCCCTCGGTTTCTCTGTCCCTATTTCTTCATTTTGTCCATGAAGAAATTTAGTACCAAGATGAAAGTGTTTTGCTCAGGGTATCAGGATGCCATTAAATTTGGTTAGTAATAATAAGGTAGATAGGTGAATCAGATTAGTAAATGAGAATTTATCGTGGCTTTTCTATATCGAGCCTGACACCCTTTGCTCAAGAATGATAGGCTTTAGAGGTATAGCAGCCTGAGTTCCAATTTCAGCTCTCCGCATCATGGAGCAGGTTCTTTAAATCTCTCTGAGCTTCAGTTTTATTTAAATAACAAAGCGCCTAGCACAGTGTCTTGTAAATAGTAAGTTCTTAATTTTAATTGTGATTATTATTTTACAACAGTTATTTATCTGTTGGAGGAACTCTGAAAATCCATGTTAGTGAATTGAATCCTAGATCTAGAAAGATTTTATAGCTTAAATAGACCATTGGTCTTGAAAGTAGAGTATGTGCACTCCCTGGGGATTGCAGAAGATGAACCATTGGAATACAGGAAACAATTCAGAACTTCTTACATTTATTTTTTATGTAAAAGGAAAAAGTAAACTTTACTAATATTTAATATATAGATTAACAGTAACTTATACATTTAATTTATAAGTAAATATATAATAGGACACATTTCAAAAAGATTCTAGAGGGGCGCCTGGGTGGCTCAGTCGTTAAGCGTCTGCCTTTGGCTCAGGTCATGATCCCAGCGTCCTGGGATCGAGCCCAGCATCCGGCTCCCTGCTCCGTGGGAAGCCTGCTTCTCCCTCTCCCACTCCCCCTGCTTGTGTTCCCTCTCTCGCTGTGTCTCTGTCAAGTAAATAAATAAAATCTTTAAAAAAAAAAAAAAAGATTCTAGAACATTAAAGATGTTTGGGCACCACAAATCTGGACCAATCTTTACTCATGCTTTAGTTCACTTTATGCTTTCTTGTTAGGGATTCAGCTTGCCTCTTTTTGAATCTCCATTGGAGGAATCTTAGAGACAGGCCATGTCATTTTGTAGTCATATTTGTTAGAAATTTGTCTAACTGTACATTCTGTCCACTGGCCTTACCTTCCTATTTGGGGACATGAAAAATAAGGGTAATATCTCCTCCTAGTAATCATCAAATAGTTTGGCAGTTATTTATGTCCTCTCTTCCTCTTCCCTAACCAGTTTTTCTACAGATTATAAACATACCTGTTTCATTCAACTGTTTCTAATAGGACAGGCTTTCAATTTCTTACCAGCTTGGCTCCTTTCCTCTAGACACCCTCCAGTTTGTCAAAATTCTTTAAGCTTTTCAAGATCCGAATATGGAATCCCAAGAACTGAAATGAAGTTGAAGTGCCTGCATTTTGTCTTTTAAGTGGTGAGGGATATATTTGAATACGTGTTATTATGAAGGTACCTTATATTCGCAGTTTGTCACCCTTGTTCTTTAAACAATCCCCAGGAACAATAGTTTAATTATATAATCATATAGTGAGAGTAGGACAGATTTTTCTTCTCTGTTTCAGTAGTGGTCTCTCAGTTAATTTTGTGTCAGTTAACTTTTACCTCAAAAATACCTAACATGTTAAGTGTCTCTCCAGGTAGGAAAACAAATGACAACAAACTAATGAAATAGTTGGGTTTTTAAAAATTAAGGGGTGCCTGGGTGGCTCAGTGGGTTGAGCGTCCAGCTCTTGGTTTCAGCTCAGGTCATAATCTCAGGGTTCTGAGATCCAGCCCGAGTTGGGTTCCCTGCTCAGCCCGGAGTCTGCTTGAGATTCTCTCCCCCTCCCCCCCCCCCCCCTCTCTCTCTCTCTCTCTTATTAGTCTGTGTACATATTACTCTCTGGCAGTCTGTCTGTCTTTAAATGCCCATTTTTCTTTCAGTC